GAATATAGTTATCGCTGCATTTACCACTGCTTATGCTAGGCTAGTTTTATACGAAACTTTAGAAATTCTTCAAGACAGAGTTCTATATTTTGATACCGATTCTATTATATATCTTGAAAAAGATTCTGATGATTTTCATTTGAAGATTGGAAATTTTTTAGGGGAATTAACTGATGAACTGGAAGATTATGGAAAGGGAACATACATCACCAAATTTGAATCTGGCGGTCCTAAAAACTATGCCTTTGAGACCTTTACTCCTTCAACCAATGAAATAAATTATTGTTGCAAAATTAAGGGAATTACTTTGAACTATAAAACAAAGAATATTTTGACGTTCGACGCCATTGAAAATTTGATTAAAAGTAGCTTGGTCACAGGCAGAAATAAAGAATTACAAATTCAACAATGCGTTTTCAAACTCACGAGAGAGAATGAAATAATGACATCTGATTTTGATAAAACATATCGCTTAACTTATGATAAAAGAAGAATAAACACAGCCAACTACAACACTTTACCTTTTGGTTTCATTGACTAGATCTTTAAAACAACATGGATAAAATCGCTCATAATGTATCAAGAGTAAGCTTAATGTTCAAGCATCCTTTTACTTGCATTGTTGCAGGTCCCACAAGTAGTGGTAAAACTGAATTAGTGCGCAAATTACTCTCTAAACACAAAGAAAATATTTATATTAAGCTTGAAAAAAATCTGAAAGTTCTCTGGTGTTATGGTGCGTTCCAAGATAAATACAATATACCTGTTGATAATTGTGATATCTGTTACATCAGTGGTATTCCTACAGAGGAAGAAATTTCTGAATTCATGCCTGATATAATTGTACTCGATGATTTGATGACAGAGTCAGCTAATGCAACCACGGTATCACAATTCTTCACGAGAGGGAGTCATCATCAAGGTTTTACAGTTATCATGATTGTGCAAAACTTATTTAACAAAGGCAAAGAGATGCGAAATATCTCATTGAATAGTCATGTTCTCATTATAATGAAAAACAGACGAGATCTGAGACAAATCAATTCATTGGCTCAACAGATCTACCCCGGTAAAACCAAGAATTTTATTGCTGCTTATCTAGACGCTACAAAGGATCCTTTCACTTATTTACTAATAGACCTTCAACAAACAACATCAGAGGACTTGCGACTCAGAGCAGATATTTTAAGTGAAAAGAACTTTCAAGTAATTTAAAAAGTTTAAATGTCCTGTGATTTGAAATATTGCCTCGCTTTATTTGAACTACTTGAAAAATCCGAAAAGAAAGTGAATAAGAACAAAATAATTAAGCTGCTTAAGTGTGAGAAATGTTTGAATAAAGCTCTCCATGAATTGACTGTTAACCTTATTGCAGGCAATTTATCGCTGAGTGAGAAACAAAAGAAACTATTGAAAAACAAAAAATTCTTGATTAAAAAACTGTCTAATACACCAACAAAAAATAAAAAAACAATTAAACAAAAAGAGCTATCAAAATATTGTAAATACTTTCAGATACTCAAGCCATCGTTGAAAACCATAGTTCGAGATAATGTTTAGAAAAATATTAGTGACACCACAAGATGACTCTGTTCCTTCGTCAAAAAATAAATGTAAAAGTGACAAATCAACAAAACCTGTTAAAAAAGAAGAGCTGAAAAGATGTTTGACTACAGATGAAATCAAATCTCTCAGCATCATTTTAGTTAAACTTGCTACGAAAGAATGCTTTAACGAAGAAGGAAATATCATAACACCTAATGGAGAAATTATTAGAGGCAGTAACATTATCGATATACTACTGCACGCAATCAAACCAGAGAGATATGTTGAAGGTTTTGAATTTCTGCCTGATATTTTAAAAAAAGCCGGAGTAGACGACATTCCAAATAAATTGATTCTACTTGAAAATAACTCATCCTATAAGAATTTGAACGAGAATCAGTATATAAGTGATGATTATGTGATGACATCGGAGCCTGAAAAAACTAATGAAATCACTACCCCGGACGTTGAGAAAGAAATTGCTGAAGAAACTATTGCTAGCAGACAAAAGAGCAACCCTAGAAAAAGAAAGAAGAAGAATTGGATCCTTACGTAAATATGTCTAAAGACAGTATTCTTAAAAACCTTTATTACACCGCAAATAAATCTTCAAGCTTTGGTGGAGTTCATTCATTGTTCGCTGCTGCAAGAGGATATAATATAACAAGGAATGAAGTCAAGAATTTTCTATCGCAACAAAACGCATATACCCTTCATAAACCTGTTATTAGAAAATTCTCTCGAAATAAGACTTGGGTACCTCATAAATGGTTCCAGTTTCAAGCAGATTTAGCAGATATGCGTGCATTATCGCAAAGTAATTTTGGTTACAAATACATATTGACCGTAATTGACGTGTTTTCCCGATATGCATGGGCTATTTCTTTAAAGAGCAAAAAACCTGAAGAAATTATTAGAGCTTTCAAAATCATATTTAAAGAGCAGAAGCCATTATATCTTCAGACAGATAGAGGAAAAGAATTTGTAAATAGTAAATTCTTTGCATTCTTGAATAATGAGCAAATAAAATTCTTTACCACGAGAAATCAAACCGTAAAATGCGCCTTGGTTGAAAGATTCAATCGAACTTTGAAAAATAAAATTTTCAAATTTATGACAGCTAATAATACAAAGAGGTGGTATTCAACTTTATCTTCATTTTTAGATTCATATAACAGCTCTAAACATCGTTCAATTGGGGTGTCCCCAAAAAATGCTATAAACATGGGAACTAATGATTTGTTCAAAGCATCTTATGGCAATAACTTTCCACGAATCACTGCGCAGAAGATCAACCCAATTTTATTTGGAGATAAAGTGCGCATTGCCAAACATCTGGGCGCCTTCAACAGAGGGTATTTACCTAACTGGTCATCGGAAATTTTCACAGTAACAAACTATTTGAAAAACGATCAAAGACAACAATATACTGTGAAAGATAAAGTAGGGAAAAATAGTTTACAGCGATATTATAAACAAGAAATTCAGAAAATCAACATAGAACCTAAAAGAACCTTTGAAATTGAAAAAGTAGCAGATAAAAAGATAATAGATGGAATTGAATATTTCAAAGTCAAGTGGAGGAATCATCCAGCATCTCGCAACAAGTGGATCAACGCCAGAGACCTCAAACAATTTCAGTTTTCAGAATCACAATAAAAACCCTGAATATATTCTATTCATAGCTCAAATAACCATCATTGTAGCTGTTGTCATCATCAGTATTGTCAATTTGAGTATCGGAAGTGAACGTGAATCTCTTTGGGTTTCCTTGATGAGTAGCTGCTTGGGTTACATTTTGCCATCACCTTTCGTTGTAACTAAGAAAGCCAGTGATAATCCTAATAAATGATGGAGTCTAGTGAATTTGATGTAGTTCTATCAAGTGATATGGACAAAGACTTATACCCTGACAACAATCCTGGATATTTCAGAAACAAATTGTGCAGACGACTGATTTTACCAGGAATCTGGACAGTAACGCTTTTAGATATTAGTTTACCAAAATCTTGGGTAACTAGTGTGAACATTGCTTTACAACTATTCAATTCAACAACAATGACTGATTTGACTGAGTCAAAAAACATAGAAATTCTTTCGAATGATAGTTTGGCAGATGTCACTCGTAAGCTTACTGAAGGATCTGCACATAACAGTCTTTCAAAGCAGATAACTTTCGAGGTTTATCAAAAAGACAGAATCGCGATAATACCAGGAATTTTAAAAGCTACAGATGGTACAGATATTGAAATAATACCTAAATTCGACAATTTCGCTTCTGAAGTTCTTGGAATGAGCACAAATCATACCTACAAAAAAGGAAAAATAATTGCAGACAGGCCTTTTCATCTTTTTGATAATGACCTATTTTATATTGAAACAGACATCATCGAGCCGATACCTGTAGGTTCAAGTGAAAAATCTCTCTTACGTTTCCTCACCTCTAAGGCGTATGAAGATTATGGTGATAATGTTTACTACACTTTCGATAAGCCACAAAAACGAAGATTGAAAAGTTCTTATATCGAATCAATACTAATTGATATAAAGACAATAAAAGAAAAAAACCCTTCATTTCGTTTTGGTACCTCGTTGGTGACGCTTCGTTTTAGACATGACACGTATTTCTAATTTGTTTGATTATTATAAACATCAGTTATCTGCAGCTGATAATAATAATAAAAAACTCAAGAATGTGAAAATTAAAAAAAGTATCAAGAGAAACAAAGTAACTCAAATCAATTCTTCAAAACGTATCAAGAAGCCACGAAAATCTAATAAAAGACGAAAAAATAAGAAGAAACTCTTAGTTAAAAAGAAAACTTCGAACCTCTCGGATCGAGTGAACACAAAACCTAAATCACGAGTGAAAAGAAGGAAAAAATCAACTAAGAATCTAAAATTTGATTTCATATGATAATGTCAACTTCAATTTATGATTCATGTGCTCTTCCTGAATTTGATCTTTTCAAATTACCTCCATGCTCTAATCAAGCTGAAGGTCCATTCAAGTTGAATACCGGCCGGTCGCAACGCTAAAACTGATTGTCCAATTGAATTTT